TATATATGACTCAAAACCTTTTTCACAGAACTGTGTATGTGTAGCAGGAGTAGTACTTTACCTATTTCCAGTTTGGTGATGACCAGGTTTCCTCCATACTCAGCATCTGCATGGATGACCCAGAGGCCAAGTTCATCAACAGCCATGTCCAGGTAAGTGTTAGGGTTCAGACTGTAAACAGGCATATGACCAGCTCCTGGAAGAAGCATGCTGTCCACCACTGTGCCATTCAGCAGGTCTACCTTTAGGAATTTAATTGATATGAATGGACATCATTATAGCATAGAGGGCCTTTTGTTTAAGTCACTTTATCTAACCACATAATTAGATTGAGTAACTACTGAAAGTATGTGAACAGTGGTGTGCTATTTTAGTCACTTTATTAGCACAGAGTTGGAGGGTACTGCATGTTGAAACTGGACTAAGATAAAAGTTAACGTTAGCATGCTAACAAGCTTACAAAAGATTAATTTCAGAGTAGCATTTTTGGCTTGTAGTAGCGGATAATGTAGGTATAATTAATAATATCGTGGTTTCGAGGGTGTTAAAAAGTACAATGGTAAAAAGAGCCTCCAGGTTTCAGGCCCCTTTTCTGTGGAACCAGATCTTAGTTTGGATTCAAGAGACAGACAGCTCTCTCTACTTTTAAGATTAAATCTTTCCTTTTTGATAAAGCTTATAGTTAGGCCTAGATCAGGTGACCCTGAATCCTTTCTTAGTTACGCTGGAATAGGTCTAGGCTGCTGGAGGCTTCTCATTATGAACTGAATGTTTCTTCTTCACGCACCTCTTTTCTCTTACCATGTATTTATACACCACTCTGCAATTAATTATTAGTTGTAATTAATCTCTGGCTCCTTTCAACAGCATGTCTTTGTCATTTGCTTCTCACATACCCCACAACTCGTTGCAGTAGATGGTGCTCCTCCCTGAGCCCGGTTCTGCTGGAGGTTTCTTCCTGTTAAAAGGGATTTTTTCCTTCCCACTGTCACCAAACCGCTTGCTCATAGGGGCTCATATGATTGTTGGGGTTTTCTCTGTACTATTGTAGGGTCTTTACCTTACAATATAAAGTGCCTTGAGGTGATTGTTGTTGTGATTTGGTGGTATATAAATAATAATAATATGAACTGAATATTAATGTAGACTCTATTTAATTTTGGTGACTAGTACTTGGCTTGTACAAACCAAAGGCTTTAAAAATCCCAGACAAGCCAAGTACTATCAAAATGTGGTTACTTTATGTACTACTTAAAGAAGGCTTCTGTAAGAAGAAAAAGAAAGAAAACCAGTGCACACATGAGCGACCTTACACAAATTAGCTGTGTTAGCAATGCTCCCATGTCAGCTAGAGTAGGTCAGAATCACTTGCATGGCAATGAGAGGGACACCACATTGCTTACTATTTACTATTAAGAAAGTGATATTAAGTACAACTGAAGCAAATATGACATTCCTCACAGACATGTATTATATTTGTGATTAATGGAATAAAATACTGGAAATTCTTCAAACCCCCCTAAAGTATCCTGACAAAAGTCTTTAGCTCTACTGGAACAAAACTGTTTTCTCTGCTCACTGACCTCAGCTGACACAGAAGTGAAGGAAAGAAAACAAGACCGACTCCTCAGTGACTAAGCTCCCTGTTATGAAGTCTCAAACTGGTAAACTGCAATTGTATCCAGGAACTGTTGCCAAGCGACATGAACAACTTTAATCAACCCCTTTTGTACACAGAGTGCAAATCAACACAAGAATGCCTTGATGTGAAGTACACATGTACAACGTCACATTCATGTTTGCTAAATCACTTACAAACCTTCACTATTTGGTTTGTTGTATCTGCTTTGTGGTAGTAGAGGAATCCATTGTAGACCACATGACCCGATCCTTGCCAGTGGAAAGGCAGCTGCACCACCTTTGCTGGAGATGAAGTCCTCTCTGTGAAGCTTTGCAGGGAAACGTACTCCAGCATGGTGTCGTTACGAATTCCGCTGAGCAGATAAATCTGAAAGATTTCACATTGGGACAAGCTGAGATTTTGCAGCTCAGCTTTATATTCTATTCTTTATGAAAAACTGTATAAAGGCTGTTTTAAAAAGCTTTTAGCATTTTGGTTGGCATCATATTAAGTGTTTAGAGCCAGAAAAACTACCTTTGCACAGAAAAGTTAGTTTATTACCTAAAGCCAGTAGGTGTGGTTAGTAATGTACATGTGTAGGGTGCATGTGTGAACAGCCGCACACACTGTTTTATTCTAACTAACATTTAAATAAAATAATAGAATTTTACTCACTTATAAAGTTTGAAAAGACTTCTTGGACAGTCTGTTAACACACGTGATCATGCAGCTGTAAACATGTTCATTTAAAGCACTAAATGTTGCCACTTTAACACAGCAGTCCATGGGAATTGTTGGAACAAGCCTCAAGTGGCCAATCAATAAACTGCAGGCCTCAGCTTTTAAGTTCAGCTCCAGAATAGTGGGCAGGTGGTTTTATTCTGTTGGCCAATCTTATATAGCTACAATACACCCACCCATTTACATCTGGGTGGAATTATTAATTATTAGGAGCTCCATAGTATATAGCTTACACATTTGCCTAACAAGCCAAAGATTCCTGGTTCAGTCCCAGGAGGAGTGCTCAAAGATGTTAAAATGTTTTGCTGAATGGAGGGAAGCTGCTCAGTTGGTAATAATTGTATGTGGTTTTATCACCTTAAGCCAGCCATTTCCATCACAGGTGGTCATCTGATAACAGCTGATCCAATCACATAGGACAAAATAGTCCAAAAGCATGATTCATTTTGATTATTCAGAGAACAGATCAGTGAGTGTCCATTAACAGAGCGACAGTGAGAGAAAGATAAACAGAAGAGTGCAGCTCAGAAGGAAAGACAGCTTTACCTCTGCTGCAAACAACCAGTTATTTCATCATCTATAAAAAAAGAAGAGACCTTGGCTGATCCTTCCGAGGGGTCCTTGAACCAGGAACCATAGGTGTCTCCTGCCTTCTTCACAATCTTGAGAGACTTGATTTGACTCAGACCCATGCTGCAGTCTGGAAAAAGCACAGAAGCAGGAATGAACATTTTGTTGTTTCTTTCTATTTTCCAAACTTATGTTATGTGGACCTTTAAATATCTCGTCTTATTTAAGCACCATTTTGCACTTTGATCTTGGCTTTCCTTTTCAGCAGGTCGAGTTCTGCCGCTTTTATCTGCTGTTCCAGCAGTGCCTCCTCCATCTCAATTTCAGACTGACTGGGAATTTTGTTTTCCAAATATTCCAGCTCTCTCTCCATCCGGTCTACACGTACAGACATGCCGTCCATCTGGCTCTTCACCTCTGATCTGTACAGCAAAACAGTGCTTATTTCATGTATTTCATTCAGTTTCTCAGAAATTTGTCATTATTTCATTCACTTTTCATTTAAATAGTGTGTACTGAGAGAAACTTTGTAAAGGAGATCTTTCACATATGTTACCTGAGAACACTGAGTGTAGACAGATAACCTCTGATTTCACTGGAAAGGTCAAAGGTTCTTTGGGTGACGCTTGTGGTGCTCTGCTCACACTGATTCAGGCGCTCCTAGTTTCATGAGAAAAGGAGTTAAAATGAGAATATTTCGTTTGAGAACTGATGGAACTAATATCAAATTTTTTCTCTAACAACTAAAAAGGTTCACGTAAATTTTACTTGGTCAGGAACAATACCACAAAGTCTTGCTCCACTCATTCTGTACATTAATAGCACTTGATGCATTGCTTTGTTTTTAAGTTATTGCATTCACAAGAAAAGTTGACCTCTCACTGTTCATGTCACCCACCCACCCGGCCGTCTGCCAGGCAGGGTGACAATACTCCATCGGCCCTTTTACGGCTCAGAGGTAAAAACTGAACTGTAGCCTCCCACTGTGATGGGATCTAGTTTGATGATCACTTGTTCCCTTAATGGAAGGTGTCACTGCGAGGCAATACAAACTTTTTCTTAGCATTCACCTCTATTAAGATGAAACACAGTGGACCACATCATAGTGGTCTGTTTAAGCATGACAGTGACCTCAGCCTCAGGGCATGGAGGCTTACTGAAGGTTTAATGAAAATCAAAATGGTGTGAATTCTCTGCTATTGCCTACACAGTCACCAGATCTCAACCTTGTTTGGAAAACATGGTGTTAGACAGGATTCACCACCACTGCCATCAAAAAACCAAATGAGGAATATCTATAGAAACATTTTATTGTCTTGATCCCAGTTTCATATTCTTGGTTTCACTGCTTTAAGTCATGATCAGGGCATTCCTGTTTATTTTGTTTTGTGTGGAAATAGTTTTTTTTTTGGAAGGGTCTGGGAGTTGGATGGTTTCCTTCACACCTGATCTGCTGCTCTTCATGTAGCGGGCAGTATTTCAGAGCGCCGTGTGCAGCAGATCATCGCCAGATTGTCTTCACCTCTTCGGTGCCCACCAGCCGTCAGCTGAACTCAACTCAAACGGTCCGTGATCTCCAGCCTTCTTTCCTGGAAATTTCCAAACGCTTTTCGGAACCAGAAAATCGCGCCCTCCTAACCGCTACCACCCGCCCACTCTCTGCCAAACTCCCCAGTGCCCTGGATTGTAGTATGGACTCTTCCTTCCTGGTTATGGAAATATCACAGCAAAAGTAAGGCTGAAGACTTTGACTGCCTGCTTTGGGATTCATTCACTACCACTCGCTTACACTCTCTCTCTCCTCCACAGATTGCACAGTTCACCCCGTTTTTTGTCAGAGCAAGTTTTGTGTTTGTTGGATTTCTGGATTCCTAGTTTGGTTTTTCTTTGCTAATAAACTGGAAACTTTATCGTGACATCATTTTGTGTTTGAGTTCAGTTTTTGCTTTATAGTTATTCCAGAGATGAGTTTCAGTTTTGCAGCCCTGCCTTTTGGATCATGTCTTGATTTCTATTAGTAGTTTTCAGTTGCCCTTAATGTTGCCTGTGTCTAGCCTCTGTGTTTATGTCTTGGTTCTCCTGTGCTCACTTGTCTGACATTTTGTTAAGTGTTAGTGTTCATGTCTGGGGCTTACATCATATGTTGATTTAGTTGTGTTTCTGTTCCCCTCCCTACTTTTTTCTTTCTTTCTTCTTCTCTTTCTTTTACTTGTACAGGGTATTCTCTCCCTCTCGCTCTATGACAGCTGGGGCTGGCTCCAGCTGTTCTGTAATCCCACGCTGCATAAACAGTAAGAATGATGGAACTGGCATAATTTGTATCTTGACAGCCTCCAGCCAAACACTCTTTAACTGCACAAGTTCACTGATCAGTCTTTTCTCTATTTGCTCCAGTTCTGCAAAACTTCTGGATTTTGATAACAGACTAAGCTAGTACCTGAAAGTCCTTCAAAATGTAGTAAACCCACCATAATGAGACATGTTGTATTTCAATAGATTGAAAAAACATACTGACTGATATTTTTTGTTACCTCATTTAGATTTCCACAACTCTAGATGATCAGATTATGCAGTAAAGAGGAAATTTTCTGAACTGAACTGCAGCATTCAGCAAAATGTCAAAGCAAAGTGAGTAACACTACAAACAGCAGTTAATAAGTGGGGGCTGAGTCTATGCTCTTTGTGTCTCTGACCTCGTGCCAGATGCACATACATGTAGTTGACGTGAAACAGAAGAACCAACATCAGCTTACCTCCATCTGAGCCAGTCTCCTCTCCAGGTACTGGATTATAAAGGCATCCTGAGACGAGCTTTGGCTCTGGACTGAGCCCACGATCAGACACAAAGATACGAGAAAGAGGGGAAGCATGCCCGACATGACTAAAACTCAATAAGTCTGGCCAGAGTAGTCAGCCCAAGTTTCACTGCCTCTGCAGCTGCAGGGAAACTTTAGTCTTTTTGTTTCTGAAAAACTTGTCAGTATTAATGAGACCACTTCCTGTATTTCCGGAGCACTCCTGAAGCACAGAGCTCAGTAAAAGTTCTCCAAAGTGAGAGCATACAACAGTTTTGCTGTGTTAAAAGCAATCCCAGATTCTGTAAGTGACTGAATTCTTCTTCTTCTGCTTTATTCAGGAAAAGTTGTTGCTCCAGAACGTTCTGCCTTGTTTCTCTAATAAGTTGTTGCTACACTGGGTTTTGGATCCAAGTGAACCTCACCCACGGTCCCTCCCAGTCTCTCTCTCTTCTAGTTGCTCCGTCTACCTCTCTCGCCCACCCTTCTACACTCTGTTTTTTGTGCATTTAAGGTATGAGAGAACCATCCAACAGAGGAGGGGGAGAAAGAGAGACAGTGAGCGCTAGAAATAACCCCGACAGTTTATACCCCATTGGTCAATCCAACATTTTTTCCATTGTAATACTCTCCAGATGGCCCACTGACACGTCCTCAGTTCTCCCACAGAGCAAACCATGACCCAATAAAGTTACCAGTTGGATATATTAACCAAATCAGTGCTCTATAACCTGTCTGTAAATATTTCTGAAGTATGAGGACAACCGCCATTTATACTAAACTCATTCATAAACACACAGATTGTATTTTACAGGCAGGATTTACAGGCTTTATTTGAATATACTGATACAAAACAATAATTACAAAGTTGTCTTTTAATTTCCATCTACTTATTGTTGTCAGGGGGGCTGGAGATAATGCCAGCTACCATAAGAGGAGAGGCAGGTACAGCGCGGACAGCTCGCCAGTCTAACACATAGAGACAAACGACCATTCACACCTATGGAAAAATTCGATTTACCAATTAACTGCATGTCTCTGAACTGTGGGAGGAAGTCGGAGTACCTGGAGAGGACCAACACAAACATGGGGAGAACATCCCCCAACAACTCCACACAGAAAGTACCCGGCCAGTTGCTGGAATCAAACTCAGGATCTTCTTGCTGCTAGGAAACAACCGGGGTTTTAACATCGGTAACATTTTTAGCTCTCAAACAAAGATATGTGAAAATATGTCAAAATAACAAATGTGTTTTGTGTTACAGGGATATCTTGTGGTGATAAAACACGAGCCAACTAGCACCATCACCTCCAGTCTCATAGAACTGCTTTGTTTTAGCATAGCTTGAACCCCTGACCCTGTGCCATGCTTGGTTGCACACTGCACATGACATACCTTTTACAATCTGCCAACGATTGGAGATCTGGTCGCCACAGGGGTCCAGAATTACAAGGCTTATCCATTGTCATGCAAAGGCAGCCACTGAGGGGCCACATTCCTGTGTACTCCTCATACTTTGCCCAGCCTCCAATAAAAGGGGAGGTTTGCTGCAGGAATGGGATCGGGTGTACAATCTTTGTCAAATCAAATATGCAAATCATAAATAAATCCAACCAGATGTAGGCAGATGATACTGTGACCCTTTAAAGATGCAGCTGAAAGATGAAGAAGGAGAAAAAGATACAGCTGTCACATAGGCCATCCACCCATCCATCTATCCTCTTAACTGCTTGTCCATTTTATAGTCACAGGGAAGCTGGAATGTGTCACAGGTGCCACTGAGCAAAAAGGAAAGGTGCACCCCACACAGGCTGTTAGTCTATCATCAGGCACCATGTAGGTCATGCTTTGGATCATTTCTAGGCTGTAGCAGTCTTTTGGTGATGATAAATATAAAGACAAGCTCCTTGCCCACATTCTGAAGAAATGAAGGAAAGTTAGGTTAAAAACAAAACTTTGAACTCTTTCACGCATTACAACTTAAAAAAAAAAATCAGATTCTGTACAGAAAATAGAAGTAGCCACTGTTACATCACATTTTAGCATCATGGCCATCTTATCCTCATGACCGTATTAGGACGAGAAGGCGGAGTGTTAAGTTATCAGCCAATAAGCTTTGTTACCAAGATGCTTTTATAGATGGAACACACAGATCGCTGCCAATTAGTAACAAAAAATAAAATACTTGAGTAACTGAAATCACCAAAAGCGAGGGCTATGCAGGTAGATGGATGTACAACAGGGGTCACCGGTTGCCAGATAACTCCATGAAAAATGCTTTAAAACTCATTTGCACCACAAACACGTTTGAGATTAGCAAATGTGAGGCACACAGTTAGTGGCTACAGGTGCCTGTGTTGAGATCTACCTAAACAGGTGAGTTATTTAAAAATAAAATAAAAAATCACTCCAGTACAGATGGATACAAAGGATGGAAATTAGCTATAGGCTAATTAGCTGTAAGTTGGGAGTTTTGGGGATTAACTCACTTTTGTAGCCAGCCTCACTTCTGTATTGGCTTCAATTTTCTTTACCCTCAATTGTTAAAATTACGCTATAATTATATATCATTAACATTTCCTGATGCTGCTCTGGAAAACTTTAAATCAATGCCACTTATCATGCAGACATATTAATGATAAGCTTTTAAGACATCTTCCTTTAAGATATCTTACTGTGGTTCCAAGTTTAAACTATTTCAGCTGCGAGGTTTCTGCCCTTGCTCCCATCCCTGTTGATCCATGTAATATTCTGACTGATTTAGGTCCAAATGTTATCGCTGCCAGATAATTCTTGCTTAGCTGCTGTTTTTCCACAAGTCTCCATTGGCTGCCTTTCAGAGGCACGTGAAACTGTTTTCTTGGCTTTTGTGATGACAGACAACATCTGGCTATCAGCTTTCTCAAACACCCGATCTGGGCTGCATGGAACGCAGAGCTCTGGTTAGAGTATCAACTACATGCGAGCAATAAAAGATGATAGAGGAGAGCTTTCTAACACGTTAAGACAGAAACATTTTTTTTCTACCCAACCTATTTGTGAAAAGACACCAACACTATATCATGCTGTCATCATTACAGGTTTTAACCATGAGATGGCGCCACATCATAAAAAGAATACACACAATACTACAGCACAGTACAACCCGACAGTAGGCACTGGCCCTTAACACCACACCCCCATGTCAACCACCCACTCCCCCCACCACTTCACCTGTGGTCTATAATAACAGCCTGCTGCTAAATCCTCTGTGTGGTGCAGTGGTAATAATGAGGCTCCTACTCATGACCGCTACTGCATTGCTGTGGTTACCACGGTTTTTGGGGGCTTGCATGCTGTAAAAAATAAAACATTGCCCATTAGTGACTCCAAATCATGGTTTATTGTTGCATGTCTATAGGTCACAAGCACTTTAACAGCTTTTTCTTTCTTGGATGGTTCCATCTGGAATATCTTAAGAGGCATACTCTTCGTTATCTCATAAGACAGAAATTATGATCAAAATATAAAAAAATTACACATAATCAACTCAATCTCATATTGTAAGAGCTTTTTGCTATTTATTCCTTCCTAATTATTATTATTATTTTTTACTCTTAACGCCGCATGAACGATTTGACAAATTACCTATCATATATCGTTCACTGTTTCATCACTAGTAATTTATTTCAGCAAAGACAAACACTGTCATTCACTTTATTGGAGTGTAACACAGTGAAGCGCTTAATTATTTGAAAGGATTATGTAATGCTTTCGATTTCTTCTTGCCCTTTGTATGTACCTCTACTGATATATTCTTTTATTCTTGTTCTATCATTTTTCTATTTTTTATTTCTGTACAGCACTAAAGTGCTTTAGAAATAAAGTGAAAGTGAAATAATTATTCAGGACCTCTTTCACCTAATATTACCCCTGCTGAACCCACATTACAGGCAGATATGAAGATTCTTTTATTACATTTTTAAATCATAATCAGCTTTTTTGACTTTTTTTGTACACATATATGATACTGGGCTCCAGCTGTTTCTTAGCTCTCATTGTCACATAACAATGCATAAAAAAACTGACAACATGACACAGACAATAACAACAGGCATAGCATATTTAGTTCAATGCTGGAATTTAATCTTTTTTTAAATTAGGTATGTGAGGTGAAGTAAGGTAATGGTTCTTGCCCTGTTCAAGTGGATCTCATTTCTCTTAACCACGACTTTATAATCTTCTGGTTGTGCACGACACATTCGTGTGGGCCCACACAGCCCAACCACACATAAACACACAATGCGATGTAACCTCATGAAAGATTCATTACAATTTGCGCAGGAGTCCTATAAAATATCCATAGAGTCACAGCAAGACATCTGAGTTTGCATTCAGGGCTGCCAGAAGTAATCCCTAGAGCTTTGTGTGTGTGTGTGTGTGTGTGTGTGTGTGTGTGTGTGTGTGTGTGTGTGTGTGTGTGTGTGTGTGTGTGTGTGTGTGCATGTTTCTCTGTATGAGTCTGTATTTATGTAAGAAAGGAGCATGTTTGCAGTATGTTTGCTCATTTATACTGTATGGGTTTATACTTTTCTATGCATGTGTGCATATGAGCTATGCATTCATTTACATCGTCTGACTTTAACAGTGTCTTTAAATACATGTAAGCACCATACCAAAAGCTGGGTATGTTTGTGTGCATGCACATATGCAACAAATATGTGTATTCCGCCATGTATGTTACTTCTAGTGTGCACTAGTGTGTGTTCTTGAATGTGTGTGTATGTGTGTCTGAGTGATTGATTGAGTGATGCCAGCTTCCCACCACCCTCTGTCTCTTGACCTTTCCTACCAGTCTTTGTGTTTAGCAGATGATGAGATTTTAATGCCAGCCAGTGCAGACAGGTTCCATCAGGATACAGCTTACACTGAGCAGTACGGGAGGCAGACAGCGGGAAAGAAATGTCCATCATGTCATTGGTAGTCTTTAAAATTGAGTTTTCATTGACATTTCGACATTCTCATTTCTAAAGTAAACATCCAGTAGATTTTTCTTTTAGTTAAAAAAGAAGCTAATTTAATTTCTGCAAAGTTCATTGTGAATGTACAATAGTCTTTTTTCAAGATTTCAATTGAGTCATGTAAATGAATGGACAATTATAAAACAATAGACTGAGCAAATGCAAACAGATGATGGTTCAAGTCTGAGCTTGCGTATCTAAAATACAAAATGCTACTTCGATGAGGAAAACAGATCAACGATCATCATTACATACTTTTAAAACAGAATCATAGGAATTAAGAAGGGCGGTGACAAAAACTCCCTCTTAATCAAGATATGTGTGTTTGCCTGGAAAACAACACTACAAATACCCTCGTGGGCCGTACCTAATCAAGATGAGTGCTGAACTTTTTAATTCTTCTTTAAACCTTTAAGTAACAGTAACAGTGATTTGAACGTTTTTGAAAAAATGTACACAAACTGTGTATAAAGGTACCTATCCAATTCTTTCATATTTTTTGTCATTATTCATT